GAGGATGCTCGTCCGGACAGGGCCCGCTGCACACACCCCTCCTATGCCTCCTCTCAAAGCCCAGGGACGGTGTGAGCGTTTCACGGGCAGCTGTGGGGACATGTGCACATGTTCAGTATAAACGCAATTCTGTCCTTCGAACATTTCTGATCTGTGGTTTAGTGAGGCCATGGGTTGGGAGCCCATGGCTAACAGAGGGCTAACTGCACCAGGCTAAGATCTGTTTATTTATTTACTGGGTGGGGATTGAACCCATGGCCTTTGCGTTGAGCTACATTCCCAGTCCTTTTTATTACTATTATTATTTAAAAAATTTTTTTGGGTACTGGGGATCAAACTCAGGACCTTCAGCTTGCAAGGCAGGTGAGGTGCCACTGAGTTAAATCCCTGGCCCTATTGTAATTATTTTAATTTGAAACAGGATCTGGCTAAATCACTAAGTTGTCCAGGCTGGGCTCAAACTTGAGATCCCCCTGGTTCAGCCTCCCAGTATAGGACAGGCCTATGCCACCGTATCTGGCTAAGATTTAAAGATTTGGAAAAGGCAGTGTCAGAGTAAAGCCCCTGATGTTTTCCTTTCAGACATGGCCCAGAACCCCGGTGGCCAGCAGCCAGAACCTCTGGACTCCTTCTTCTGGGTGAACAAGGTGACTGGGGAGATCACACGACCCCCAGGGCCGGTGGGGGTGTCCACCCTCAGGCTGCGCAGGAGGACCTGGGCCTCTGCCAGGCCACCCATGGCCCGGGCACTGTGTCACTCCCTGAGGGGCCCCTGCTGCCTGCCCAGGAGCACCTTTGCCAGGAGCGGCTGTCCTCCTGAGCCTGAGAGTGTCCATCTGAGCACCTCTTCAGGGCACCCCAGTCCGAGCCCCCGGACACCCACCGCACATCTCCCCGAGGCCTCCCAAAGGGTCCAAACCTAGTATGATCTCCCTTAGCTTTTGACACCAGATGTCTTCCAGAACTTCCTGTTCTTTCCAGGCTGTCTTGGTAGGTTTTTTTTAACTTTTAAATTTTTATTCATTAAGTTTATTGGTACATTTTAGGTATACGATATGATAGCATTCATCATTGGGATTGGAGTTTTATTATTAACCCTTTGGGGTTCAATGATCCAGTTCTAGCTGGGCATGGTGGTGGTGAGTACCTGTAATTCCAGCACTCTGGGAGGCTGAGGCAGGAGGGTTGCAAATATAAACCCAGCATGAGCAACTTAGTGAGAACTTGTCTTAAAGTGAAAAATGGAAAAAGAGCCGAGGAGGAGGTAGCTCAGTGCAAGGGCCCTGGTTCAGCCCCCAGGTACACAGACACACACCCACTTCTGATGCTGGTGTTGGCTGGTGTCTAAGCAGTGTTTAGTTTCCATGGCCAGGAGTGGACACCATAGTGTCTGGCACAGGGCCAGGGTCCCCTGGCTCGAGCTTGCGAGGGCAGTGACTGGGCCCTGTCCTGACCCTGGGTGCTGGGCTGGGCCTGCGTGCTGCCGCTCACTTTATGGCCAAGGAGTCCAGCAGGATGGGGACCTCTCCTCCTGATGACCCACGTGCCCACAGTGCAGGGAGCTGCAACATCTTCCTCGGGGGACACAGGGACCTCAGGTAGGGACACGGGTACTGGCCCAGGGTCTACGGGTGGGCTGACAGTGGCCACACAGGCTGTGCCCAGTGGCACGGAGCCAGGTGAGATGCTCTGGACAGAGAGGGTGACTGGGGTGGGGCAGGGGACACAGCCAGGGCAGAGTGCCCTGGGGACTGTGGCCGTGCATCCCCCAGTGCAGTGCCACCCTGTGTGGGCCGGAGTCAGAGACCCAGTGTAGCACCCTGCTTTGCGGCGGAGGCCAGCTGCTGAGATGCAGGTGGTAGGGAGCCAGTATGTGGGGTTTCGTGTTTGAGATAAAGGAGCAAAGTCCTCGCAGGACTCGGAAGGTGGGCACAGGCCAGACTCCAGGACTGCACCCCACTGTGTCGGGACACCCCGGGCCCAGCCGAGGCTGGGAAGGGCTCCTGGCCCAGCGCACAGAGGCCAATGATGCTGCACCGGTTTCTGCAGAGAGAAAGCTTTGTCGAAGGCTGACGGGGGGCAGGGGTGGCTCGCACCTCGCCTAACAGCCTGGGAAGTGGGGTGAAGGGCTTCCGGGAGATACAGGTCTGGGGGAATCTTGGGTTGATGGGTGCAGCTGTGGCTTTCTAGGTGAGATGCAAAGTAACAACACCGCTTTACAGGAAGTCAGAAATCGTTAATTCTGAGCCAAACATGGGGACCAAGGCCTGGGAACAAGGATTCAAGTTACCCTGGGTGCTGTGTGGAAAAGTCACAGATGCACTGCAGGGCGCTGGGAGGGGTCTCTTCTCCAGGCTCAGGGTGTTGTCTGACAGAATGCTTAGCTCTGGCTCTGGAGGCCAGGCCTCCGCTTTCTGTCAGACCCAGAGCAAACATTCTGAGCTTCACCTGCCAGCCAATGCCAAGGATGCCAGCTCAGAGAGAGGGGAAAAGGCCCGAGGGAACCCAAGCCAGCTCTGGCTCGGACCCAGCCATGCATCCCCAGCACCATGCTGTTCTACCACAGGATCTGTGGCTCAGACGAAGCTTCTCCGGGGACTTCAGCCTCACAGAAGGGGAAGGCCGGGCTGCCCAGGCGAGCAGGTGAGCAGTGGCCAGAGCACGGCACACACTGAGGCGGCCAGGTAGCTGAGCCTCCAGTGAGCTGCAGGCTTCCTCCCAAGTCCCCGCTAGCTCCTGTTACAGAGGAGAGCCTCTGCCCGGGGACTTGGTCCTGGCCCACGGTCCTGCCCCCATTCCCAGGGCAGTTGGGCCAAGCTGCACGGGTGCTGGGCAGAAACGGCGCAAGGTGACAGCCAACGGAAGACGCACACCGTCTCCGGCCCAGGCCCACCCTATGCCAGCTGACGTGGCAATTCCGGCTCGGGAAGTCCGGAATAAAAATGATGAAACTTTGGTGTCGAATGGCCAAAAGAAGACGCCTAGGGCTGCAGGCCCGGGGAAAGGGAGCTTGGCAGGGCCCTTGGGTGGCCGACATGTTCCTGGGCTGCTCGGCCAGGGCTGCTCAGCAGGGAGCCACCCTCCTGGGCACGGGCGGGTGCAGGGGGCACCGTGTGGGCAGAGCCATGGGAAGGCGGTCTGGTGGGGTGCTGGCGGGGCCGGGTCTCCACAATGTGCCCTGGAGACGCCCAGGGGCACCGACAGGCAGGCAGCGGCTCCTGCGGCAGGGCTGGTGCCGGAGATCAGGAGCCAGGGGCAGCGAGTGGCTGGTGCGAGGCCCACACCACAGCTGGGTCCTGCAGCCCACACAGCCCAGGAGAGCACGGACAGGGAAGCCGGGCAGGAGTCACCTGGCTCTGGGGCAGAGTGAGCAGCGCAGTGCACCCTGCTGCAGGCTCTCGCGGAGAAGTTGACAAATGCAGTGGAAGTCCCTGAGGCCAGTGGTCTGAACTGTGCTCAGCCAATCACTGGGACCTGAGGCCTCAGCCACGGGCAGGCACAGCTAAGGCTCAGAGCTGTGGTGCTGGGGAGACCTGGCGGCCCCATGTGTGAGGTGGGGAGAGGGAGCGAGGCGGCAGGTTTGGGGACAGAGGCCACGGAGAGGCCACGTGAGTGCTGCAGTGGACTGAAGTGCTGCGGCCACAGGGCCAGGGACTCGAACAGCCACCAGGCTGGCAGAGGCACAGGCGACCCCGCCCGGACCAGGCTTCTGGCCTCCACAGCTGAGGGCACAGATTCCTGCTGCTTCCAGCCCACGCGCCTCCGCACAGGCACCAGCCTTCCAGGGCCCCTGCTGTGCCCGGGCGCAGGACAGGGCTGCACATGCAGGTGCTCCTGCTCCATCAGGGATTCTGGGGACCAAGATGCCAGGGAAGGACCCAGAACCTTCTCTGGGTACAGGCCGGGGCCGGCGTCTCCAGGCTGCTCCCGCTGAGCTCCGCTCTCCTCTGCCCAGAAGTCTGCAGCTCACGTCCAGGGCCACCCGGCCTTCCCAGGGCCTGCGGTGCTGACAGGTGAGGAACTGTCCTGTGGGGAGGGCTGTGCTGGTCAGTCCTCTCCAGCTGTGCTGCACGGCAGGGGCTCCGGGGCAGCCGTGTGGGCTCTGCATGCACCATGGCTTGTGCTGAGGGCCGAGGCTCAAGGGCACAGTGCTCAGCTCCCCAGGCCCGGGCACTGGGCTCCTGTGCCCCATTGCCTGCGGCAGTCACAGGGTCTTGGACAAGCCTTGTCCCCATTCTATGTGCAGTGTCAGTCAGCTCAAGAGACCCCCACGGCTCCCTGGCCTGCCTGCAGCGGGGCACCAGCTGCTCCCCTGTCCTGCTCCAGCTGCTGAGGGAGTGGTGCCGGGGTTGGTGGCCACAGGCACCCCCGGGAACACCAGCTTCCTGGGACAGACCTGCACAGTGGGAAGAGCCCCAGGTCTGTCCCGGTGTCTCCCTGAAGGGTGGGGAGACCGAGCCATAGAGTGGGAGACCAGGACTGTCTCAGGACCCCTGGGGCGTGCCCCAATTCTTAACGAGAGATGACACCTGCCCCTGTGGCTCTGCCGTGTCAGGGCATCGCAGGGTGGGGGCTAAGGCCTGGCCCAGGTCAGCTGGCACAGGCAGGGGTGGAGGTCAGCCAGGTGCCGGGACCTCGGGCCAGGCCATGTCTCACGGGGCTGATGTGACAGGATTGCTTCACTTGGGGAAGCCAGGCCACCAGGATGCTGGGATGGTGACCCGGCCGGAGCTGCACTCTGGGGTCCTGTAGCTTCGATCCCTCACGTTGGGCCCCTCAAAGCCTGCCACCTTCTCTTGGGCTTGGGGTGGCAGCCTGTGGAGGCAGGGGCTGGCGGGACCCAGGCTGGGCACCGACGCGGCTCTGGACAGTGCGGGAGGGGCAGGTGGTCCCTCTGTCACGGTGGGAGACAGGCACCTGTCAGCCTCCAAGGCTTTACCACTTCCCACCAGCAGGCAAGAGGCGCAAACTACCAATGGGACCCTAGGAAAACACGTGCCTGACATGAGTAGAATTTATTATGTGATGGTTCTGAGACAAAAATCAACTTCAAAACATATTACTGAAGCTTCTATATTAGCTGATTTCAGAAATGGCAAACCCAGATCTAATTTTCTAATACATTTTCTTGTATGATTCTCACTGCCATCAATTGGCTCTGGAAAATCTTTAGTGATAGTAACATCTGTCACATGAGAAAACCAACTTCAATATAATTCTCTGGCACAGTTAAGGGGGGGTATGTGCACGAGCTACAGTAAGGACAAATCAATACTTTTGAACACCCATTTGCACTTAAACGGCTCAAATAATGAATGTTTCCTGTAAACTCAGAGCATACTTTATGAACTAATTTCACCATCTTTACGTTCTACTGCTTCATCCACAGGAGAGTCAAGCACGGTGTCCCAGCCACACCTGCTCGTCCTCATGTGGAGGGGCGGGGGATCTGACCCGGAGTCGAGGGGATGCGGGGCCAGGCCTTGCCTGTTGGGGGCAACATGGGCCACCCGGGGTTCAGCTGTTTCTGAAATGAGAGGCGACACAGAGAGGCCCTAAGAACCAGAGCCGAAGAGAGCGAACCCCCGGGGGACACAGAAACCCTGCCCCTTGGCAAGTGGGTGAGGGTGCCCGCTGAGGCCGACTGCAGGGACTCCTGGGAGCCTCCAAAGGGTACAAAGCTGCTCCTGCCTGTCGGGTTTATGCTGCCAATGGTAGGGTATCTTCGTTTATTTAATTTCTTTGCTGCTGGGACAGAACCTGGGGCCTTTGGTGTGCTGAGTACGTCCTTCCCCAGCCCCCACAGCTACTGTATTGTAACGGGTAGGAGAAATTATGGGTTGCAAACTTAAATTCCCCATCACTGACATCTAACTTCTGCTACACTGGTGTTTTAGACACCAGCGATCCCTCCTGCCTATAAAATAAGCGTGTGCACACACGACACGACCGAAGAGGTGTGTGGCACCATGTTACGTGGAGACGCTGACCCGAGACCTCCCTGCACGCTCAGCCAGCTTCAAGGCCACGCGTGCATGAAAATAAAGACTCGGAGAACCCTAGTTACCATGCGCCACAAACACATCCCTTTGCTCTGGTATCTTTAGCCTGGTCTCTCTGCTAGGAAATAATTTAAAAAAAGGTCTTTTAAAGCAGCAGTCGGAAACTGTTCTTCATGCTGTGGATTTAAGTAAGTTTGGCCATTTCTTTCTTATTTCTTTGTAAGCGCAGTGGGTTTCTGGGTCACTTCAGGGCGTCTCCGTCCTTCCAGTCCCAGGGGATGTACAGGTCACCGTCCTGCAGCACGGAGTAGAAGTGGGACACGCACAGGTGCATGCCGCGCAGGGCCGGCCGCGGGCGCAAGGCGAGCCGCTCACAGCAGGCCACCATCTGCCGGGTGGAGACGCTGGGCTCCTTGTACAGCTTCTCCAGGGCGAACTGGCTGGCGGAGGCGCGGATCAGCTCGCCTTCAGCAACCTCCAACCTATTCCAAGGAGGACAAGAGCGATGCTGCTGTAAGCTGATGCCGCAGGGAAGAGCACAGAACAAGCGTTTTCTCATACACCGGGGCTGTGACCTCTCACTCACAACACCAAGACTGGGGCCCAAACACAGCTGCAGCTTGGGCGTCTCTCCCCGTCGCACCCTGCCCAGCCCGCTGCATGGCTGCCCTGTCCCTCCTGCCCGGTAGGAACTCTGCGTCTCTGGACCTGGGCCCTAGGGACTGACGCCAGGGGCACGAGGTCGGAGGCCCCACACTATGGCCGCACTCGGGGCAGGACCCACGTCACTGGAAGCTGTGGGACACGCCAAGGGCCCCACTCCTCCGACAGGCCGTGCAGCGTGGTGGGAAAACGGCGGCTTTAATCCTTCCCTCACTTCACACACTCATCCGCAAGCGTCTCCAGCCACACTGTCCTGAATGGATTCAAAACGCTGACCTTCCTGGTCACTGTGACTTTGGGGAGAATCAGGAGTCACCCGGTGCCAGATCCGGTGACTAAGGTGGGTGGGGACACAGCCGTGTTTCTATGTGCTGCCTTCTGCGGGACGGCGCACGGCGGCAGCAGCCACTCATTTTGACCACCCCTCATAAAGACCTGGGGAAGAGGACGCCAGCAGCGCTGCAGACAGTGGCGGGGACCATGGGATGAGTGCTCCTAGTGGCAGGGCAATGGCAATGTGTCTTTATTGCAACAATTTTTTTTTTGGTACCAGGGATTGAACTCAGGTTCTTGCGCTGGCGGCGAAACCACCGAGCTAAATCCCTGGCCCAATGCAACAATTTTTTAAAAGGTAAACATTCACCGTGTAACTTAAATACTGCCTTGGTTAAAAACACCAAATATTCTCTCTGACTGCTGCATACGAACATTAAGTACATAAAATCCCGACCCAGCAGAATATCTGAAAACAGAAACAGTCACTGCAGCTGGTCCTGCTGCCCTGTAGTTACTGATGCCCTTTCTTCAACAACCTTCTGCAGTGCAGTGTGCTGCGCGTCCTTCGGGTGCCCTGTGCCTCCTGCTAGGAGTCAAGAAAGTGGACAGGGGCTGGGAGACGGGCTTCTCAGTGTCACCCCGCTGGCCACTCTGCACTTGGGTGCACGACACTCGTTTTCTATGTAGGGCCTTTTCACTTGCTCAAAAAAACTCTAGCGATGTGACTGAGCAGTGAGTGACGCCGTGCAGTGGCACCGACGTGTGGTCCCGGGTGGGACCGTGTGGCCCAGGGCCCTCCTCAGGCTCCACTGTGGTGACAACAGGGTTGAAGCCCTCAGCACCGAGCCTCTGTGCCAACTCACTTGTGCCCAGTGCGCTCCGGGCAGACATAACACTGCACTGGTGGGGGCCGCACTGCACCGAGCCCCCCGCCCCTGGGCGTCTTCCGGGCTTGAGCAGCTCGGGGCAGTGTGGCCATGACAGCCGCAGCCCCATGGGCAGGAGCCCAGGTCCACCAGCCAGGCCCGCCCCGCGCCCTCGGCCTGTCACTGTCCCCCACACCGCCCGGCACGGCTATAGCTTCAGTGGCCGCAGGGTCCCGAGCACGCTGCCTGACTCTAGACGTCTCCCTGGGGCTGGCAGAGCACTGCCAGCAGGTATGGCCTGGGCTCCAGCCTCAGCACTAAGAACAATTCCGCTTTTGCCCTTCCTTACAATGTCTTTGCCTCGCTGAGGTGGTGGGTGCCAGGCCTGGGGTGGGTGCAGAAGAGCTCTGCCCCATCCCTGCCGAACAGCAGCCACTTTCCAGGGGGACAGGGCCCTCTCCCTGCACAGAAATGACGACCAGGACTATCTGTTTCTAAGCTGGAGCTCAGCCACGCCACCCCCCGCCGAAGGCGAGCCCGGCCTCCGGGTGCCCACACTGGCGATGTGGCGCTGCTGGCAGCTACAGGCCCCACTCCGCAGTGTCAGCTGCACGGTGGACGCCCTTACATGGCCGTGCCCGACAGCGGGGTCGGGGAACAGGAAATATCCACTGGGCCACGCTGAACCCAGGGTTCGAGGACCCATGCCAGGGCAGTGAGCAGCGTGTTTTCTAGGCCTGGGTGACCCTGGGCACTACACCCTAGGGAGGAGCTGCAGACGGGGTCCTGGCAGCCTCAGGGGAGCTCGGTCCCAGAGGGCAGGCAGGTGATGCTGCGGGCCTGGAGCCCCAGATGTCAGACCGAGGGAGGTTTCGCAGCTGCTCTCTGTCAGGCACTCGGAGGGCCCTGTGGGTGGGCACCCCTGCTCCCTTCCTCGTGGAGCGGGGCAGCTCTGAGCTGGTTTCTGCTTAAATCACTTTGCAAGACACGTGCAGGACAAAAGTCGCCGAAAACTCAGGAGAGGCTGAGGCAGGATGATCACCTTCAGTTCAAGGCCAGCCTAGGCTACATGGTGAGTTCAAGGCCAGCCTGAGCTACACAGCAAGACCCTGTCTGAAAAAAACAAACAAAGTCCCCCCAAGCCACCCAGACACTTCACCCAAGGAAAGAGGGAATCGCCACAGCTCCGGGGACCTGAACCAGGTGGGAGCACAGAGCGGAGCAAAGAAGGGGCTTCGGGGTATCTCCTGCCTGTGGGGCCCCTGCAGGGGTGGGGGAGCAAGAGAGGTGAAGGGAGCTGCCAATGCCCGGGGGGGGGGCCCTCCCTCCGTCTGGAGCTGGGGAAGGGCAATGGAGTGAGGCAGGGTGGAGGCTGGCGGGGCTGGCGCAGGCCTGGCGGGGGAGGTGAGGGCACAGCCTGGCAGGAGCTGCAGGAGGAATCCGGCCGGGACGGAAGTTTGCCGAGCCAACCTGCTGGGCTCGCAGCCTCTTCGCTTTCCTCCTTCACAAACTAGAAATGAGCCGGAGCCAGAAAGGGGCAGCAAGGGACAGAGAAAGCGCTCCTGAGGCCAGCGCATGGGGGCCGGGCCTGGACCCCGCCTCCACCTGTCCTTGCAGCTGGCGACCAGAACGTCACCCACACTCTCAGAACAGGAGACCCTGCTGTGCAGGGCTCCTCAGAGGCCCAGAGCCCGGGCTGCTGGGGCCTCTTCTTGGGTGACTCGCAGCCCCTTAGGCCAGTCGGAACATCTCTGAACACTGAGGACTCCCCTAAGGAGCTCCTGGCTCTGCTTCTCGCCGTTCTTTCCCACCGGAGTCTTCTCTCACGCCCTCGTCCCTCCCGCTCCTGAAGCGAATTCTGTGTGAGAACCCTCGCTTTCCAACCTCAGCCCACGCGGTGACATAGCTCAGGTTCCTGCTCCGGAAGCAGCCGCCTCTCGCCTCTTGTGGGGTGTTGGGAGCACCTGCGAGTCCGGCAGCTCCTACAGGCTTGATTTTGGCAGTGCCAGGCAGGTGCTCTACCACCGAGCTCCACCCTGGCCCTTTAACATGGTCTGGTACCGATCGACTCCCAAACACGAATCCTTAGAGGTCAGACTGAAGCCGGGCGAGGTGGTGCACGCCTGTAACCCCAGCATCCAGGGGGCTGAGGCGGGAGGATCGCTGAGTTTGAGGACAGCCTGGGCTCCATAGTGAGTTCAAGGCCAGGATGAACTACACAGTGAGACCTCGTCTCAAAAAACAACAAAAACAAAACAAAAAACCAGAAGTCAGACAGAATGCTGTGACTTCTCGGAGGCTAACGGTACTCACTGTTCCTTTCGCTTCAAGTTTTCTCTTGCCTGCTGGGCTCTGGTGAGAATAAACCACTGCAGATTTTCTGGGTCACAGAGCGTTGGGATGTTAAAATGCCCAAGTTCATGAAGGCTTGGCGCGTACCTGTCACTGAAATAAACGGACATTAAGGGAAAAGCTGCTGGCTCCCTCCGCGCCCCATGAGGAAATGTTTTATTGGTCTTTGAGTAACTGAAAAGGATCACCAAGGAAATCTACCTTAAAACTACCATACAGCGTGGGGCTGGGGACAGCTCAGTGGCGCTGCACCTGCCTGGCAAGCACAAGGTCCTGAGATCGATCCCTAGTACTGGGGAAAAAAAATACCAGATAGCAGCACTGATACCCCAAAGATACACTTTACAGGGACGGCTGCTTCCAAGCCCTGCACCAGAGTCTGTGTCCCATGAGCTGTGAGTGGGTGGAGGAGGCACTGGTGCCCAGTGCTCCACAGCAGAGTGTGCGGACAGAAGGGCTGCTGCACACCTTCCCCGGAACTGACCGCATGTGAACACCGTTATAGAGATTCAGTCCTCTGCTGTGTGCAGAAGAGAGCCGCTAACACCCTTTGCTGCAACCCCTACGAACCACACACTGAAACACCAGCCAGTGCAACGCGCTCACACATGCAGCCCATCACAGGGAGCGTCCTGTCCCCACCATTTACCTGTTGAGGGTCATCTGCAAGCCCCGGAGACTCTGAGGGTGGAAGGGTACTCTGCTTTTCAGCAGTCGGTTGTAGAACACGTCGAGGAGAGAGTAATACTCTTCAAGGGTTAACAGTGGCTGCAGTTCTTCAATATAAACAACTTGGATGCCCCCTAAAAGCCCGCTTATTTGGTTTTCTAAAAGCACCAGCTTTCTCCGGAGGTCAAAATAACTTGGCAACCTTTCAAAAAGCTACACAGTTAAAAAAAAAAAAAGATAAGACATATTTAGTTTGTGTTATTGTAATATTTCAACTTCAGGATTCCAATAAATGGAATTGAGAAAATCTAAGAAAATCTCAGGCTGGGGATTTAGCTCAATGGTTCTGCACTGCCTGCCCTGCAAGCACAAGGACCCAAGTTTGATCCCTGGTACCAAAAAAAAAGAAAACTATTCTCACAGAAGGAAAAGACTTCATAAAATGCTAGAAATACTAACATTTCAAACGAACCACCCTATGTCCAGGGATTTTTATATAGGAATTGAAGAGATTGATGGGGAACAAAAAGGAACTAAGTCCAAAATAAAAATAAGTCTGAACTGCCGGGCATGGGGTGGTGTCCTGTGATCCCAGCACTTGGGAGGCTGAGGCAGGAGGATCGCCAGGAATTCAAGGCTAGCCCAGACTACAGGGTGAAACCCTGTCTTAATAGGTCTTAAGTACTAGTATTTAAATATTCAAGTAGAAATTTTAAACTTGTTTAGAGTGATTCAATGGAACAGTAACTTCCATTTACTTTTATTTTCTTGTTTCGAGACAGGGCCTCGCTCATGCAGTTCAGGCTGGCCTCAGACTCATGGCCATCTTCTTGGCCCATTCTCCTGAGTTCCAGGGCTACAGGCATGCGCCGCCATGCCCGGCTAATCAAGCTTTTAGAAATAGAGTACATGCATGTACTTCAATTTCAAATCTATTCACTCAATATTTACTTTCTTTTTTTTTTGGTACCGGGGATTGAACTCGGGTCCTTGCGCTTGCACAGCAGGTGGCAAAACTCAGTATTTACTTCCAATCAGCTAAATGTGATTAAAATACCAGTATTACAGGGCACCCACTGTACACTTCAGCAATGGCTCAGATACCCGCAGTGCACAGATTGCGCTCCTGTCGGGCCTCGGGCTTGGGGTGCACTGAGACAACCCTCAAGTCCAAGTTCAGCCTCAAATGCCATGTGGGCGATGGATTTGGAGGGCTCCAGTGACCCAGGAAGTAGACGGACAGATCGCAAGCAGGGAACAGGGTTTAGGGAAGGTGGCGGGATGCAGGTTGTTCTTGGGGTAGAAAAAGCAGGTTCAAGAAGAACCAGGCGCTGGGTGTGGCTGAGTGGGGTGAACGCCGGTGAGGGAGATGGGGCTGACAGGGAGCCAGTTTCTACCAAAAGCTGCCGTATGCAACCTGAGGAGAGGAAGGCATCGAAAACTCTCCCGTATTAACAGCAGTAACAACGTAAGCATGCTGCAAATTACTGGTAATCTAGTTACTGCAGTTTCTGAAAAAAAAAAAAAAAAGACTCCCTACGTTTTTGATTTTCTTCTCAGTTGGTTATTCATGTACAGATGTTAAGTACATTTAAAGAACTTCTTTTCCTTTTGGAGTCCTGGAGATTAAACCCAGCGTCGTGTGGATGCTAGGCAAGCACTCTACTACTATTCTATGTCCCCAGCCCTTTTTATTTTTATTTTGCCCAGGCTGGCCTTGAACTTGCAACCCTCCTGCCTCAGCCTCCCAAGTAGCTGATTACAGGTGTGCACTTCTGTGTGTGGTTTACAAAACTTTTAATCTTGAGGTAACTGTGGATGCACATACCTTCCACCCAGTTCCCCTCCAATAACTCAGGCCCTCAGTTTTACGCTATCTTATCAGTGTTTGGAGCCGCCACCAGCAACACAGACTCCCGTCAGCTGCAGGCGACCCCCTCACCAGGGGTCTGCTCTCCGGGTTGCGGCTTTATAACCGGAAGGGCGACAGGAGGGGGCTGCACAGGGCGGAGCCCGGCAGCCTGGACAGCGCCCCTCCCCTGCCCTCCCCTCTGGCCACTCACAGCCCAGGGACAGGTGCCCCCCCCCCCCCCGCCCCGGCTCAGAGCAGGTCTGTGCGGAGTGCAGCTTTTCCCTGCCTGTACTCTGCAAGAGTGCCGAGCACATGTGGCTGGGGGCGCATGGCAGCAGCGCGCACCGAGCCTTCCCATCTGGTCAGCAGGCGGCCACACTGTGCTGTGTGCTGCGGCCTCGCACAGGCGGGCTCGGTCTCTGCCCTCACAGCCCGTCACCTGCTACTCCCTCGGGGCCCACACCAGTGTCCTTCATGTGCTCCTGACCTGTCTGTCCTCTTTGTGACATGTCTTTTTTTGTTTTTGGCACGGGGAATTGAACTCTGGACCTTGCGCTTTTGAGGGAAGTGGCAGAACCACTGAGCTATATCCCTGGCCCTTTTCTGGGTTTGTTGAGTCAGGGTCTCGGTATGTAGCCCAGGCTGACCTTGAACCCATGTCAGTCCTCCTGCCTCTGCCTCCCAGTGCTGGGATTACAGGTGTGCACCACCACGCCCAGTTGTGTGACATCTTTTTCAATCTTGTACCATTTTCCAGTTGGACTGGCCATTATCACTATTTTACTGACGAGTGCCCAAAGTCCTTTGTATTCTAGACACAAAGTGTTCGTTGGATATGTGGCTTGAACAGGTGCTGCACGGGAAGATGTGGGTGGCAAAGGCGGGTGTGGGATGGTGTGTCCCAGTTGTCTCTGGGGCTGCAAATTACACTGGGACGAGACAGTACACACTATCAGGAGTGCAGAAGTAGACATCTGTGTATGCGAGGCCTGGGGCGTGTGCCCGTCATCCCATCTACTCAGAAGGCTGAACTAGCAGGGTTGCCAGGGTCACACAGACTGTCTCACAAAAGACTCAGAACATTAAAACAAAAAGGTTATTTTGGGGGACTTTCTTAAACTTAAAATATCCCACCATAGGATCTGCCAATTCTCCAGGTGTTTACTCAAGAGAAGGAAAATGTGCCTATGTATTTGTGCACAAACGTTCACAGCAGCTTTGTCTGGGAAAGCCCCAAACTGGCACGACCCAATGTCCAGTAACGGTGAATGGATTCAGACTATGGTCTATTCAGACCATGGCACATCACACAGCAATGAAAAGGAGTGAACTAAATAAACATTAGCAACATGGGTGAATCTCAAAATAAATGAGTGAAAGAAGCCCGATGAAAAAGCCCATGTACTCTACAATTAGCGTGTGTAAATCTAGAAAACACAGTGACAGGCCAGGCATGGTGGCACATGCCTGTAATCCCAGCACTTGGGAGGCTGAGGCAGGAGGGTTGCCTTGAGTTCAAGCCCAGCCTGAACTGCACAGCAAGACCCTGTCTCAACAAACCAAAAAAAAAAAAAAAAAAGTGACAGGCCAAACATTCAGCCCCTTGGGGTGGGGTGCCATCAGCTGGAGCCCCGCCGGTCTGAGGAGCGCAGCAGCAGCAGCAGCAGCAGGCTCGGCGGCGCCGCGCTCACCTTGGTCCAGTGGTGGTGGACGTCCATGGTCCCCAGCATCACGTGGCCCACGGCGCTCACGCCCGAGCGGTCCGTGAAGATGAGCGTGCAGCCTGCGGACAAAGCACGGCCGTATCACGGCCCCGCTGCCTCTCACTGCCCGCCCGCAGGAGACCCCGCAGGGGACCCGCGCCTTCCAGGGCAGGGGGCGGGGCGGGCCCTACCTTTGGCTTTCTGCAGGGTCCCCAGGTCCTGCTGCGCGAGGCGGCCTAAACTGTGCAGCTGGCTGCAGCGGTGCGCGACCCCCCAGCTCCTCTGCCACCTGCGAGCGACACACAGCGTGAGCGGCGCCCACATGGCCGGCCGCGCGTTGCAGCGTTGCACCAGCCGGGGAGGGAGGCGCTGTGCGCCCGGCGAACCCCGTATGTTCGGGTGCCAAAGCTCTGCACTGTTATGCGAGCGAATCATGTCGTTTCTACCTGGGAACAAGACAGCGCCAGGAGGAGCCTGGCTCTACACCCCGCGCTGCTAAAACCAAAACCACCAACAAAACGAAAGACACAAGAGCATGAAGTGTGCAGAAAATCCTTTTCTCTTCTATGTGGTACAACCATGATGATAATTTTGTTTTACACCTAAGTTCTAATTAGGAATCTCAATTGGTTTATCTAATTTTAATATAATCTTACTTACGTGAGAATTTTTTTTTTGGTACCCAGGATCCAACTCAGGACCCTAAGCTTTTGAGGCAGGCGGTGAAACCACTGAGCTAAATCCCCGGTCCAATGAGAATTATTCTTTACATATTCTAATTCTTATTCTAGAGGAAATGACTGATGCACCACACAGTCTAATAAGTGGACACCGAGGCGATGTCACGGCGGGGGTGGGGGTGGGGACGGAACGACACAGGGTGGCTGTCAGCGGTGCCAGGAAGCCCGCCCTGCACCTTGCCAGCTCTGCAGCCTGGAAGAAGCTGTGCTGAGCCTTCCCAGGTTTGGAGTCTGGCACATGCAGAGTGGACACGAGGTAACACAGGCAAGGGATGAGGAGTTCCAGGTGGACTGTCAAGAAAAACAAAAACAGGGCCGGGGATTTAGCTCAGCGGTTTCCCTGCAAGGACCTGAGTTCGATCCCCAGTGCCAAAAAAAAAGAAAAAAGAGAAAAGAAAAACAAAAACAAAAACAAAACTTAAGTTCCTCCCTTAGCCCAACACTAATGCTCAGGGATGTCATTTTTTGATAAAATAAAACTATCTTTAAGAATTTTCCTTTAAATAGTAAAAGAGAAGTAATACAATTTCAAGCTGGGGGTGGTGGTGCACATCTATGATCCCAGCACTTGGGAGGATGAGGCAGGGGGATTTCCGAAAGTTTGAGGCCAGCCTGGGTTCCATAGTGAGTTTAAGGCCAGCTTGAACTACATAGTATTAGCAAGATCTTCTCTCAAAAAACAAAAGAACACCCTAGGAAAACAAACAATCAAAAACCCCAAAGATTAACATTTATTTTCAATTATTTGAAATTTAAAAGTTTTAAAGTAACAAATGTGCTAAATGCTGTTTAATAAATGATCTTTCATATAGGCCATCAACAATTTTAAAAAATGTTCCCATTTGCTGGGTCTTGGCTCATTTTCCAGTGAGTAGGGAAGCCCTCTTATGTCCGTAGCCCTAAAATATTTGGGGCTCACAGTCCCTCTGCCATTCTTAAAAACTGAGACCCCAAAGAGCTTTTATTTATGTGGGTTACAGCTATGAATATTCGTAGCCCACATTAAATCTGAGAAATTTCTCCACAATTGAGTAAAATAATGCTTAGTTTTTATTTTCTCAATCCAGTCTGTTGATAGATCTTTTTTTTTTGGTACCAGGGATCAAACTCGGGACCTTGTGCTTTCGAGGCAGGCGCCGGAATCACTGAGCTAAATCCCCAGCCCCGTGCTGATAGATCTTTTAAAATTTACACTAGAAAAAGTTACTTTCATGCATATGAACTTGCTTACTTCATACACTTATAAAAATGTCTCTACTGTTGTGTTTTTAGTCAGAAAGTTCACATTACCAGACTGTAGTAGTCCAGGTCCTCAGTGCTCTATGACAAACGCTTCTTCCCCAGCCTGAGGTTGCTGGGATGGGGTGTGGGGTTGTTAGGAGGGGATACCTGCTCACTGGGGTGTGTCCCTCCTGGACACTGTGTGCCTGAGGGGGACACCGGGGCTCCCCTCGCCCCTACTGCCTCCCCTCATGAAGGGGTTTGCTCTGCCACAGAAGCTCTGAAGCCGTGCAGAGCAAACCTCTTCTAAGCCTCTGGTGTTTGTTAGTGTTGGAAAGCTGACTGACAAGAGCCATGCCCGGGGAGGGGGAAGTCCTGTAACCAAAGCTTGGCCTGAAAGCTGTTGATGTGAGGGCAGAACAACTGTAAGCTCAAATCTAAACATTCCCCACGCTGCGAGCCTAAAGGCTTTCCCTGAAGTCTGGGTTTTCTTATGAGAAGGACAACAGTGCTGCTCTGGAGCCCAAAGAGTCGCTGGGTTCAGTGTGAGAAAAGCCAGGAGGAGGCTGGGCCGTCCCTGCAGGAGCGGGGGCCTCTCCCGAATCACAACCTGCCCTTCCTCCCCGAGTAGGGCCCAGGAGCAGGAAGGAAGGGATTCTTCCAGAACACGGTTCCTGCTCCTGCACAGTGGTCGTTTCCGAGCTTCTGCCGCCATGAAGCCCTGTTACTTGACATGGAACAAGAGTACAACACGCCCCGCTCTCTGGTGCCCTCTCTGAACTCAAGCTCCAGCCTTACCCGATCAGGGTATGATTACTTTTTATATATGATGTATAATACATGAAAAAGCATATTTTCCTCACAAACTTATTATATTTAAAGAAGTGTAGCAATTATGCCAAAAAGGCCAGTGGTTAAACCCTAGTTCAGTATTCTACACAAATTAATAACAGTGTTCCTTGGGACAGATGGACATTTGATTACAATCATAAAAAGGCCAACTGAAGAATAATCACCAAAACTTAAAGATGGAAATACACAGCTGCTGGTCAGGTGCACCAGCAGGTCACGCCTGTGTTTCACTCTCTAACGAAGGCGAAGGCTCCCTTCTTTATTACCTGATATCTGAGAGTTGCAACAGGTTAGACAGTTCCTCTTTTAAACGATCTAGTTCTTTTCTAAGTGGCAAACTATTCTTCAGTTTTTTAACAGCCATTTTCCCGTTGTTATGTAACCACGATCTAGAAAGAAAAAAACAGACACACACGATTCAGTCCTGACCTGATGCAAGCACTGCAGCGCTGAGACACACGTGTTACCTAGGGCAGCTCCAGCGCGAAGCTGTTCTCAGCCACCTGCCTGTGAGGAGGCCGAGGGAGGGCTGTCGCGCTGGGCATGTCACATTCTGGTTACAACTCTCTCCATACATTAGACAAAATTAAACTTAGTCGCATCTAGTCTATCACTGGCTTTCTAGCAATAATAAAGTTCTGAAAGTAAAGGTTCTGTCAGGCATGGCAGCCCATGCTTGTAATCCCTGCACTTGAGAGGCCGAGGCAGAAGGATCGCTGCAAATTCGAGGCCAGCCTGGGGTACACGGTGAGTTTAAGGCCAGCCTGAACTACATAGGGAGACCCTGCCTCAAAAAAAAAGGAAAAAGAAAAAAAGAAAAAAAAGAGTACAGATTTTTTAAACCTTTCCCTTATGTTTATCACAACATTGACATAATCTTTGCTTATGCCAGTTACATGCTGGCAAGGGCAGAGCAGAAATCCTGTGTGAGTGAGCAATGCTGTGCTAGAGCTCCTAAGGTGTGGACAGATCCAGGGGTTCCAGGCTGGCGGAGCCCCGCCCTCTTTACCCTAACCTTGACCTTAGTGCTGGGCTCAGGGCTGCCTCCCCTGGGCCAGTCTCCAGGACACGAGGTCCTCCCACACGCTCCCTCCACTCCTAACACCTCCTGCCCCTCCAGGGCCCCCAATGCCCAATTTACATCTCTCTCGTTTTTTGGTGGTACTAGGGATTGAACCCAGGGCCTTTGCACTGAGCTACATTGCCCCTTTTTAAATTTTTCATCTTGAGACAGGGTCTCTAAGTCAATAAATTGTTCAAACTACCTCAACTATGCAGTCAAATCAGCTTAGTAGAAACATGTTCTCTAATCCTTATTTCTCAGACCATTTCCTCAGTGGTCTTAAGAACACATAATATAGAAAGTGTGAAGGGCAGGAGGGGACAGCCAGCCTTATGGCCGCCCTGCCGCGTGGAGGTAGCAGCTACTCGGTGGCTCAGGCAGCAGCTGGCACACCTGGGGGGGGGGGATCAGGCACAGCTGTGCAAGAGGAGGCAGACACACAGCACAAGCTGCTCACATCACAACCAAGCTGCAGGAGAGCTGACGTGGCCCTCTTACAAACGTTTAGCAAAGTCTTCAAACTGAAGAAGAGCAGTACTCTAATAGCCGGTTCAACAGTGTTAGATGTCGTGATGGAGAACATTCAGAATAGTGCCAAGTTGAGAATAAATAATCCTGGGAACAACCAAGACATTGTGCACTTACGAAACACACGTATTGTATGGTGAATACTGTGCCATGCTGAGGACACAAGGAAGATGAAGTCCCCACCCTGAAGGAAGATGCAGCCAACAAGGACTGCAGGGTCACGTGGTTAGGACAAGCAAAGAGCACTGTGGGAAGCGATGGAACCCGAGGTGACCCACGACCTGGAGCCGGACAGGTGAGCATGGGGGGGTTCTGGGAGGAACCAGTACCCCATCCCACAGTGCTCGTGGCACTGGGCACAGGACCACCGGGGAGGGCAGGCCCAGACCCGAGCAGCAGGACAAGAACCAGGCACTCACCCTCTTGGCAAGGTGTTCAGGGTTTGATTTAGGACTGGGCAGAGCGATTCACAATCCTTCCTACAACCCTGTAAGGATACTGACAAATATTCTGACCCTCTGCATGGTATGTGGTAAATATCTTCATCTACCTTCATCACTAATATTAGATATTGCATTATAATTTTCCAATCTTTCCTCATTATTAACTGCTCGGGCCAGGGGTTTAGCTCAGTGGTTCCACTGCCTCCTGCCTCGAAAGTGCAAGGTCCCGAGTTCAATCTCCGGTACAAAAAAACCCAAAAAACAAAACACAGCTCAATTTACTTTAAATCATATGAGAAAGTGATGAGTAAATTATCAAATGACATACTAGGTTTGGTTTGAGGAGAAAATGTCTTAAAGTACAGATGGCTGAGCTAGGGACGCAGCTCAGTGGTAGAGTGCTTGCCCAGCATGCACAAGACTCTGAGTTTGATCCCCAGCCTCATGAAAAAAAAAATAGCCGACTGAAACGTAAGTGCATGACTACACATGCATGACCTGGTTTTGGATTCTTCTGGCGGTACTGATGCTTATTGCAGGGACTCACACAGGCTAGGGAAGTGCTCTACCTCTGAGACACAGCTGCAGCACTTGCTTCTGGAATTCTTGCAATTAGTATGGAAAATCCAACAGGTGGAGCTTAACAATTTTTGTGAGCAAATTTTAACTATTTTGTGAGCTACAAATGAAGGTTCTAAACACGGTGTTTAACTCACAACAATGCAGCTATGTATTTCCTAGCTCTGACTGCTGAAGGGGCAGCAGTGACTGAGCATGAGTAGCAGCCAGCTGCTGGCTTCCGGAATCCATTCCTTACTAGAAAGAACTTCAGCTTCCTGGGAAAATGGCTGAAGCTGACTGAGGGCAGAGACAGTCAAATGGGCCTGGACATCTTGAGGACTTGGAAGCCAGCGTACAGGGATGATGGAATCGGGGGACACTACCAATGAACCTGAGAGTGAGGGGAACTATCTGATGGGGAAAGGGTATTATGCAGCCTAAGGGTCTCCTTCAGAGAAGACAGTAACTTTATTGTGAGAACAACTTGGTGCTGCAGTTTGGATCTTGGAAGTCCCAGAGGGGCCCATGTGTGGAAGGCTTGGTCCCAAGCCTGAGGAACCTTTAGGAGGTGGAACCCTGGTGAGGTGAAAGCTTCAGGAGGGAGTGGTCACTGAGGTGCACCCTGGTAGGAGACCCTGGGGCCACTGCTCCTTGATGTTTGTCTCCTGTTTCAGAGACAACAGGAACCATGAGGCCTCCCCTCCACTGTGCCCTCCTGCCAGGATGCACTGTGCTGCCACAGGGCTGGCGCAGCTGGGCCAAACCACAACAGGACAGAAACCTCTGGGACCAGGAGCCAAAACAACCCTTTCCTCCTTCCAAGTTGTCTACCTCAGTGACACGGAGCTGACTAACAGGGAAAGTGACAGGAAATGCTTGAATTAATTCAGAGGCTGCAACCCTAGTACCTACACCCGAGGGCCTGCTGGAAAAGCCATTTGGTCTACACTGCAATTCACTCTCAGGCTCCAAAGAGCAAAGGAGTCCTTTCTTTGTGTATGTGTCAGTTTTGTCTTGTTTCATCCTACCTTACCAGGACCCTCTGCTCTGAGTAAGATACTGATGCTCAAGATATAATCTAAGGGCCCTTAATATAAGCATTGAAAACTAAACACAACTGTTACAATGCTATGTCATTATTAACTTCACCTTATGAAGGAAAGGAAAGACTATTTAGCGAATAATGAACAGGTTTCCCCCAGTGTCTTTCAGGATAAAGCTATTGGAAACTGGATTAAAAAAACAACAATCAGGGCCAGATATTTAGCTCAGTGGTTCCGCCCCCTGCCTCAAAAGTGCAAGTTCCCGAGTTCAATGCCTGGTACCAAAAAACAACCCCCCATCATTTGTATTCCTTTTGCAAGGACCCGAATTTGATCCCCGGTACCAAAAACAAAACAAAACAAAACAAACAAACAAACAAAAAATTAAATAAAAAACAACAATCAGGGCCAGGGATTTAGCTCAGTGGTTGTGCTGCCTGCCTCACAAGTGCAAGGACCCGAGTTTGATCCCTGGTACCAAAAAACAAAACAAAACAAAAAAACAATCAGTAAATTAGACTTAAATTTCCCTAATCTCAATTTCTAAAACACTGGTTTAAGTTGCTATCCTCTTTAAGGGTAGAAGATTCAAAATGACATTTTTTGAGCTTTTCCTGCTAATGTGAAAACAGGAGTTTGAATTTAAAAAGCATACCTCGGAGAAAACCAAGAATTCACAGCAACACAATAGCTCATCTAAACCCAAACATGTTCCTTAGGACAGTGCACTTCTTACTAAGTCAGCAGGTATGTTTCAGTAAACACCAATGAAATGAACAGGGGCAAGGCAAGAAAAAGTGACGCTTTACAGTCACTGCTAAATTACTTCTACAGCTACTTCACATTTCCACACTGGACTGGGTTTTCTCAATTTTTTTTGGTGCCGGGGACCGAACTCGGGTCCTTGGGCTTTCGAGGCAGGTGGCGGAACCACTGAGCTAAATCCCTGGCCCCTGACTGAGTTCTCTTTAATGAGCCACACAACCCTACTTGTTCCATATGTCATGGGCTCTGTGGATAATGAAGTAGATTAGTGCACGAGAGACGATTAAACATGTTCCCCACTCTTAAGAACTCCGTACCTGCATAACTGACTATTTATTAAGAATGGAGCGATTTCAATGGGTGAACACTGTGAAATAGGAATTATAGACTCGGCTCCCACACGGGACCCCATGGAGGCCGCTCACCTGTGGAACTGGCTCTGCCCAGTCTCACCTGTGCCCCTCGCCTGCAGCTGGCCTTGCGATGATCTCTTCATCTTTTCACAACAGCTGCATACTCAGCAGCAGATCAAAACTGCACTCCACAAAATACTCAGCAGCAGAGCAATGGCGCCTCTGAAGGACTTTAGCACTTTAAGCCCGAGCTTAATAGAGATGCACCAAGTGTCAGCCTGCGCTGTGGCTTGCCCAGCCAATCCCATCTTTCTATACTCATCAGTGCGAACACTCCCAAACCCTCTGTCCTCTTGCAGTGCAAGCAGAAGTGTTTCTGCCTGTGGCACTGGGTGCTGAGCCCATGGGCTTCACACCGAGTTACATCCCCAGCCCTTCCCTTTTTGTTTTCTATTTGAGATGGGGTCTTGACAAGTCACCAAGGTTACCAGGCTGGGCTTGAACTTGAGATCCTCGGGCCTCAGACTCCTGCATGCTAGGATGACAGGCTTGTGCCGCCACACCCACTGGGTGGCAGTAGGCTGTGCCCCAGTGCTTGCAAGGATGGGAACCTCCCTCTCTGCCCACACTCAAGGCAAACCACGTCCGCTCCTCTAGCCCCTGGCTGCAATTTACTGTCAGCTGTCCAACTGGCCCTCCTGTTTTCTAAACCAAAATTGAAATTCATCAGCTTCTATCAAACAGGATGCTCTTCACCCTTGCCCTTTTTTCGAGACAGGCTGTAAAAGAGCAAGACTTTGGATCTAGTCTATAAATAAAAAATTATTCTTTTCCATAATCTATTTGAGATGACATTTTTTTTGGTACCGGGGATCGAACTCGGGACCTTGCGCTTTCAAGGCAGGTGGCAGAACCGCTGAACCATTCCTGGCTGAGATGACATTTTTAATGTCTCTATGTGTGGACTACTACACTAACGTACATTATCACCTAACTCTGCAAAGAAACTGAAAATGCACACCACATGAAGAAGCTTAAGAGATTTTAGAGTTTTAGGTATAACCTTTTTTCATGTACTAGGGGCAACGCGAACAGAATGTAAAAAACTTAAAACAATCTTCTGTATGTGATCTCTTGCATGAATCAAAAGACAAACACACTTGGAGCACTTGGGAAACTTTAAGAAACATGAAATATCTTTCACATTGGCGACTGGATTAAGTATATCGATAGGGTTACTTGTCCTGGAAGATTAGGCTTCGGTGTTAAACAGGAACTACACACGGAAGTAGGTTAAACCAAACCTGTACATACGTTAGGGTTGTTTCTTTTCTCCAGGCTTGCTCAAGGTCTCCGTCGGGGTCCTTGAATCCGGTGAAGGAGTAGTAGGACTTGTCCCATTTGATGGGCCTATCAGGGGTCCGTTTAGCTTCTCTGAGAGGCTGGGAATGCACGTTAGTGTTCAAGCTTTGGACATGTTCCACAGATAAACTGCAGGAGTTGAGAATATACAATACTGTGCTTAGCAGGTCTCGGGTGTGCAAAGTAAATCTGATTGCTCGAAATCCTAGAGAATATAATTCCCCCAAACAATTAATACAGATGATCTCTGCTTTACCTTGAAAATAGTTCTGCATGCAACATTTATACAATCAAAATCTTTCAAAACATTCCAGTTCTGATTACAATTCATGCTACTGGAAAATCACGTGTAAAATGGGACACTGTCTTCCTTCTCCAAGCCCCAAGAGGCTTTCTGCCATCATGAGCGTCTCTGACATCGGGTCCCTCGGTGCCTGGGACCAAACCCATCCTGCCCGAGGGCAGCAGGATGTTTTCACTGCCGCCCAGGAGCTGGGGTTGCAGGAGACTGGAAGCACTCCCCAGGAGAGGGGTCCCTGCAGACAGCAAACAGGGAAATGCAGTGACGCATGACATACAGATGGCGCCGTGACAGGTGCTTTCGAAGGGCCAGCTGTCCAGCCTCAGCAGTCACAGAAGCCAACTGACTGTTCTTTTTGGCTGCAAGGATCACCGTCTTACCGTCCATGCAGGAGCTAGTAACTCAGTGTTTTCCAGAGTGTTATGTACCTAAGTGTTTATAAGTTAGTGCCTCACAATCCCATCTGATGGTGGCTAAAGGTTCCTAACTGGAACTGTCAGGTCACCAGCAGGAAAGCTGCCAACCCTTCGGCTGGTGTCAGGCGAGGTTTGACCTGGGCTGACAGTCCCACCCACCGCCCGGGCCACTGGGGCCTCTCCTGTCAAAAGTGAGACGCTCAGGGCCGAGGAGGTCTGGGGTGAACCATGGGTTTGTGTCTGAGCCGACACAAATCCAAGTACTTTCACTGCTACAATATGGTCTCTTCTTTTTCCAAAATTTTTTTTTTTGGTACCGGGGATCAAACTCAGGTCTTTGTGTTTGTGCAGCAGGGAGCGAAACCACTGAGCTAAATCCCCAGCCCTTTTTTCAAAAATTTTAAAAATTAGTTTTGAAAATTACACAAGTATTAAGTACATGCTTACTATAAAATTACACTTGAACTATGAATATATATATGCATGTATGCTGCAGCAGAAGCCATGGTAACAGGCATGCAATCTCACTCCTTGACTAGACACACCCACCGTCCATGGGTAGGCAGCTCTTCTTGTAAAGCTGCATCAATACAGCAGCTTCTAGCCTCATGTGGCTAATGAATATTAGAATAACGAGTATGAATTCGGCTCCCTGGTCACCCTGCTGCCTGTCCAGTGCTCGGGGCCACAGCGTCAGTGCTTGAAGTAGTGCAGGGCACAGAGGTAGCCACTCCCTTCGCAGGAAGGCTTCTGGGACAGTGCCCCTCTAAATCTTTCCTCTGTGCTTCTCTGGGTGTTGTTAGGTGATGCATACATGTATGTGCTTACACACACATAGCCATTTAGTTGGAATTACTCCTTTTTTGGGGGGACACGTCTTGCTGTGTAGCCCAGGCTGGCCTCAAATTCATGGTGATCTCCTGCAGGCGTGCACCACCAAGCCGGGCTGGAATTATTCCTTTTCACTATTCACTATATAAATGGCATCACTCTGGATAATGTATTTTGGACTCACTTTGTCACAACACTGGTGACCCTTCCAGCTCTGTAGGTATAAATCAGCCCATTCTTTTTACCAGCTACACAACAGTCCATTTAATGACTGCTGCGTAATTAACACTTCCAGGAGTGGTGGACGGAGAAGCTGTTCTCAGCTCTCTGCCATCCCAAAGCCTCAAATGTGTTTTCTTGTCTTTGCAACTGACGACTGACATCACACTTAAAATCATTCTCAGATACATGTGCTGCTCACCAGGTAAATGCACGGAACCCAGAAGATGCAAACTAAGAATGGTTTTTACTCGAACCATTTGATGGTAAAGTGAGAACTACAGGAGAACTGTTCTATCAGTGAAGTAAGAAGGAAAAACCCAAACTTGTGCCCTAGGTTAGGAACAAAGAACTCATCTTTAACACAGCTTACTCACAGAATACATCTCAGTTTCTCTCTTATCAGTTCATTAATTATTTAATCCAATAAAGGGCTGCTGCACAGCGAGGATGCTTGTACCAGAATGTACATATCCTTTACCGGTTCCTTAGGATACATTTCTAAAAGACAGACTTTTCAGTTTTGGGGAGATAATTCCACTGCATTCTAGAAAGCTTATATGGAATTTACACACTTAACAATAGAGGGTGAAGATATCGTTTCACATTTGGAAGCATTATTAGAAAAAAAATTTTATGGGAAAAACATAGTATAATGATTTCAGTTTGCATTTGAATACTGTGACTAACATTTTTATCGGCTATATATGAACTATCCATAGTCTTTGCCATTTTTATAATGTAGAGTCACTGTTGTTTCTCATTTGTAAAAACTCTGTATATTATCATTTTGTCATATACATCATATTTTCTCATTTCTAACAATTTTTTCTATAACCTACTTTTGCTTAATGAATAGTTTAACAAGTTAATCATTAACTGAAAGTAGAGAATTTTTGTTTTTACTCAGTCTCTTAGTAAATCTTTAGCTTGTTTTAAAAAAGCTTATTTTCTCAGGGACCACCAAGAAAATGTGGAGCTAAAGAAATAATTAGGCCTTTAAGAATTTCAATGTATTAACTAATGCACACAGTTCATGAAATTTCAGTGATAAAAATCACTGGTAAACATTTTAACTTACTACCATCTCAATATCAATGAAAAGCTGACTAATAATTTTTCGTGTTGTAGAAAAAAAACCTAAAGAAAATCTGATTTTAATTTTATAATCAGAAATTTTTAAATCTCCAACAGAGTGATAATCTGTGTCAATAAAGGTAAAGGCAAAAATGTGTAACAGTAATATTGTGAAAGAATTAATAATGTGGTATGTGAACCACACCACTGGACATTAACTCTAGGATCAGCTCTGCTCTGTTTTGCAAATCCAGCTTCCTCCTTGACTGTATTGCCATTTAACATTTAAGCTGATCGCAGTATTGGAAGTAGTGGCTCTAGCTCCAGAAATGAACCTGACTTCCCTAAATACATAAAAACAAACACAGACTAGTGATATTACTTTTATTTTAAAAACTGTAAAAGGTATAATCTGCCTCCATAAATTTTGTCTTCTGGGAGAAACCATGAAACCTTAAGCAGATCATTATCCATGTGACATTTCTTCAATTCCTAGCCAAACCTTGACACTGAGTAACAGGGACGTTTATCCATTAAACATTTATGAACATGTGGTTTTGTTGCAGCAAAGGGAGTCAAAATGATCTTTTAGAGACAGGAGAGTTGGGTAAAATAAAAAGAAATTTATTGCCAGGCTACAGACAGCCTCAGGAAATGAGTCCTTTTAGGCTGACCTCAAGCTAAGACAGTTTCTCCTTTTTATACCTTATCATAGCCTGCAAGGTAGCTTAAATTGTGGTTATACAGAATGTCACAAGGGTGTGGTAAAGCATGGTTTTCAAGATAAAACAAATTTCAAGGTTGGTTTTTAATCCTTCCAGGAACAGGCTGCCCCACAAGAAGGGGAAGGCCCACCCGGTGTTTCTAAATAGGGACAAGTTTCAAACAAGTTTCAAACAGGGTTTCAGCACAGAGTTCATGAACAAATATTTTACAGTAATTATCCATTCCAAGTTATGTTTGGTAGCTCTTTCTGCCTCATTCTCCCCTGTTGTTACATCAAACAGAGTCTTTATTGATTTAAACAGGACAAACATAAGGGGCTTCTGTTTGCAACAGCATTTGATATGATTGTATGGAACGGACTCTATCTGTTATAAATTTGGAGATCTAATTAACTAAACATGGTCCTACAGTCACCAGGAGTATTATCACCATTCTGGGTCCCATCAGGGCCTCTAACCACACTTTTCATCTAGTGAACTGCCAACTCCACCAGGGGTTGATATCCTGGGAACCATACTTAAGTTTTTATCTGATTTAAACTTTTTTTTAGTTGGCCCATGGATTTTTTGACTACTCCTGACTGATTTGCATAATAACAGCATTCTTCCCCTAGGTAAACACAAGTTCCTCCATACTTAGCAGTCAGCAAATTGAGGCCTCTTCTATTCTGCAGCACTACGTCTGCCAGCAAGTCGATCTGTCCTTGTAGAGTGAGGATTGAGTCTTGTACTTCATTTAACCCTTTTTGAATGTCTTGGCCTAATGAAAGGTATTGTTTTTTTTTTTTGTACCGGGGATTGAACGCAGGTCTTTGCGCTTGCGCAACAGGCAGTGGAAACCACTGAGCTAAATCCCCAGCCCATGAAAGGTATTGATGCTGTCCCAGCCTGAATGCTGTGCCACCGAGTATCAGGCTCCCTGCTATAGCCAGTCCTGCTAGGAGAGGGCGAACAATAGGATCCCTTTTTCTTCTATTTAGTCCTCCTGTGAGGGACCCTATTTGGACAGGAATGTGTCTCATGGCACTGGGGGAGTATACATTTAGGTCTGGGATAAGTATATTTATAGCACAATTATCCTGTACTTTGGGGGAGAAGACTCGATATAAGCCATCCTTACACACAAAGAAGGCTCCTGCTGGAGCCCTGAGGTTGGAGTGAGTCCCTTGGATATTGACACAATTTTTGGGAGGTTCCATAAGGCAGAAACCTTAAACACACATGAGTTATTTCCTATCACTTCAGGGGGTTCACTAAGTAGTCGAACTGCTGGTTCATCCATATGGTTTAGGATTCCCTGTAGGGTCAGCCCCAAAGCATGATAGGTGAGCTGATGGAGGGGTGCACAGATCCAGCAGTCAGATGCCAGATCTCGTCAGTGGCCAGAAGCAATCTGTGGGTGCTGTTTATAGTCTGCACCATATCTATCCCTGTGTAATTGGCCGGCCTGGACCTAATCTTTTTTTTATCTCTTTGATTATTGGGCTTTCCCAGACTGTTGGCCAAACTGTGGTCCATACCTTTTTTTCTTTTTCTTGGTACCAGGGATCAAACTCAGGTCCTTGTACTTTCAGGGTAGGCGGCGGAACCACTGAGCTAAATCCTCGGCCCTAGACCTTATTGACTAGCATATCCC